CCAGACTTGAACTCAGGAAGATGAGTCTTTCTGACTCCAGGCCTGGCATTCTATCTACTGCACCACCTAGCTGCACCCATTTTGCATATACATACATACATACATATGTGTGTAATATGCTATGACAGAAGGTAAACTCTCTAAGAACAGGGATTGTTTCATTTTTGTCTTTGTATTCCCAAAGCCTGGCACAGTGCTTGGTACATAGTAGGCCCTTACATTCGACTGTTGGCAGTAGAATCCTCATCACCTCTTTTCCACTTCCTCCACCCTCCTTCCCCAAGAATTACCACTAGTGTAAGCCAAGGTAAGAGAAAGAAGCTTTGGTGATACTGTCAACTGATGGCTTTAGCAGGAGCTAGAGTGAATTCCTCAGCATTATACAGCAAGAGAATGAGGAGCTATAAATGGAGAAGTGGATCAAATGTAAAATCTTATTTTGTTTTTAAAGCCCTTCAAAAAGTAACACTTCCCCCTCCCCCCCCCACCTTTCCAGTCTTCTTATACCTCATACCCCTCCAGTCCTCTTCAATCCAGCAGCACTGGCCTCCTGGCTGTTCCTTGAATTCGACCTTCCCGACATCACCCAATATCCCACCATCTTCCACCATCCCAACACCTCCCAACTGCCTACCTTTGGACTGGCTCTTCTCCATACCCACAACTCTTTCCCACTTCTCCACCTTCTGGCTGCCTTCAGGTCTCAGCTATAAGTCCCACCTTTTGCAAGAAGCCTTTCTCAGTCCCTTTTAATGCTCGTCTCTTCTCTCTGAGATTATCTGCAATTTAACCTGTCTACATCTTGTCTGTGTACAGTTGTTTGCATGTCTCCCCCACTAGCCTGTGAACTTCTTGAGAGCAGGGGCTCGCTCTGCTGCCTTTTTTTTTTTTTTTTTTTGTAGCCTCAGCACTTAGCACAGTGCCTGGCACATAGTAAGCAAAAACACTTGTTGACTTTATAGTTCAGCAGCAGAATTTAGTTACCAATTTCGTTCTCTTGCTAAGAAATATATTGGCATTACCTGAGGTCTGGAAATAATGGTCCTAAAAGGACTCTTAAGGGGAAGGTTTCAGTGACAACTGACTGAACTATACTGAGTCACATTGTTACAGCATCCACTGGCAACGAAAAATCCACTATAATCTATGTGCATTGAGTTTGCAACTGACTCATCCAATCAATTAATTTCTACTGGGTAGCAGTAGTAGTATTGGGTTCTGCCAGGCAATTTTCAAACACAGAAGATGCTAACCGCATTAGGTAATAGCTATAACATTAGTGAGCATATATATATATTTAGTTACATAAAGGAAGGGTGGGGGGAGAGGAAGAGGAGGTGAAGGAGAGGGAAAGGGAAGGAGAGAGAAGAGGGAGAAAGGGGTAGGGGAGAGGGAGAGGAGAAGAGGGGAAGGGGAAAGGGAGTGAGAGGAAGGAGAGAAGGAAAGTACAGGGATGGGGAGGGATTGAGGGGGAGGATCAAGGTGGGAGGAAAGGAAAAAGAGGAAGAGAGGGAAAAGGGGAAAGGGAGGAGCGGGAGAGAGGGAGGGGGGAGAGAGGGAAAGGGAGAGAGAGGGAGAGGGAGAGGGGGAGAGAGGGAGGGACAGAGAGAGAGAAACAGGTGCTACTGCTATCCCCATTTTACAGATGAGGAAATTGAAGCTGATTTGGGTTAAGTAATGTGCCCAGAGTCACACAGTAGTTAAGTGTCTGATTTGAATTTCAGGTCTTCCTGAAGACAGGTCCATCTATTCAGCCACCTGACATTATTATTTTTTTTTTAAAGTTCTTAGGAATGCAATGTTAAGCCTAAAGTCTTTTGAGGGATTAATGCTCTGTTTGTGTGTGTGTGTGTGTGTTTAAGACTAATTTAAATTAGCACAGTCTGCGTCTCAACAAAATAAGGCAAGTGGCCTCAACTGAACCTGCCCTTTTCAATTGATTAGCTTCTTTCCTTGGTTACCTAAAAACCTGTATTTGTTGGTAAACATTTAAATCCAGTGCCAGGAGGCACTGAAGGAGCACTAAAAGTGACAGGAACTGAACCTTAAGGCCCTGAAAAATTAAAAGATTGTCATCAGAACACCTGACCCAAAGCCCAGGCTGGTTAGAGGTAGAGCATTGGAGCAAGTAAAGAAAAGCAAACAAATCTACAACCATTACTTACAAGTTGGATAATATTTGTATATCGAGTTATAATGGAATTTATCAATGGAATAAATCCAGTCACATTCAGTTGTTTCAGGATGCGGGGCTATTTCATTAAAAGCCCTATGTGAGGTTGGCTATTTCTATTATCCCTCGGGTCACAAATCTATTCATTCCTGAAAACTAGAATTTGTCATACAACCGCTGGCAAACTGGAGCTGAATAGGCAAAGATACGTTCAGATTGTTATTACTCTGGAAAGGATCCTTTGAGAAGTTGCAATGATTTGGGGGCCACAGGCATTCAGTTCATCTACTGGTTTTGGACTATACTTTTAAGTTACTGCAAAAAAGCAACAATCACAGCTATTTTGGATTCCTGTATTATGATTTAAGTTACACTTAACAATTTGCTTAAATACTAGGTGGCACAGTGAAAAGCGCTGTACTTTGAGTCAAGAAGATGAGTTCAAATCCTGACTCAGACAATTTGCTTGTTGTGTGAACCTGGAAAAGCCACTTGACCTTTCTCAGTCTCTGTTTCCCCCTCTATAAATGAGAATTATAGCACTACCTCCTGGTTATTGTGAGGTTAAAATATTTATAGAACAGTTTGTAAAATTTACTGAGCTATAAAAGTGCTACTATTACTAACAAACTAAGTGATTTGATTGTATCTTGGGGCATGGGAACTGGAAGAGGCACTAGGTATCATGAGCCCAACACTGTGGTATCATTTCTGACACTAAGTAGTTGACTCTACCCTTCTCTAAATCCACTTTCCTGCTTATAGAATGATGTAACTCAACTTGGTCTCAAAGAAACCATTTCAACTCCAATGTTTGGACTCTATGAATTTCCCACTCTTCCTACCTTTACGGAATGGGACTGGTTTTATTTTTCTTTATGTCCCCCACATCTAGTTTGATGCTTTCCACATGGTGGGCACTTAATAAAAAGCACAAAATACCATTACCTTCATTGGAAAATTCAGGAAATATAGTTGTTCTTTTACAATGCTAAAACTAAGTAGCAGAGTGCCTGGCACACATTAGGCGCTATTTAAGTATTACTATTGTTGTCATTATATCCACTTTGCTAGGATGTGTACAAAGATTCTTGTACAGATATGGGTTAGACAGCCTCTAAAAATACCACCCAACTCTGATTCTGTGATTTGTCTGTTGTACCTCCAATTTTATTACTCTCCTAAAACAAAGGTTGCTCCAGGTGTGGTCACTAATGACTTAGAAACTCAGATTCATACCTCTTTCAATCACTAAGCACGGACTATGTACCAGGCTGAAGCGCAAATACTTTGGCCACATAAGAAGACAGGACTCATTGGAAAAGACTCTGATGCTGGGAAACATTGAAGGCAAAAGGAGAAGGGGACAGCAAAGGATAGGGACAGATAGTGTCATGGAAGCTACATACATGACCTTGGACAGACTTTGAGAGATTGTGGAAGACAGAAGGGCCTATGTTCCATGGGGTCATGAAGAGTTGGACACGACTCAATGACTGAACAACATGTACCAGGCACCGTGCTACAGGTACAAAGGCAAAAACGAAAGCACCTGCCCTGAAGGAAGTTAGATCTGATGCACAGTAAGTATATATACAAAACAAAAACAAGTTAATGGGAGGGGTGATGGGGAAAGGCCTCATTTAAATAGCGTTGCTTGAGTTTTCAAAGGAAACTAGGTATTTTTAGATGGAATGTCCTGTGTAGTAACGAAGAATATGGCCAGTTTAGTAGAGTGTGTAAAAGGGAATCAGTATTGTACAGAATGTAAAATCTATATAATAAGGTAGTTTAGAGCCTCATTGTAAAGGGTGAACCAAACAAGTATCAACATAAAGCAGGGGGCTTAATGAACTTTATTTCACTCTCAGGATATATGATCTCTTATTCTGTTTAAAATTTTTTTTAAAAAGGCACTGATTACATTAGCATTTTGGTATAAAATAGGTCAAGCCTGAAATGTATCAAGATCAGGCATCTTGAACATAGGCAATAATTTAGAATACTTACTGATTTTATCTTTCAAGCCCATTAATAAGGCATAGCCACTCCAAAGAAAGATGCCCATAAGTCCACATTAGCTCTTGTTTTTCCCTTGCTATTCAGTTCAGTCAAATGTTTTGTGACTGACCAAGGGCTGATGCTGTAATGGGCCTCGATAGTTAGATCAGTTCATTATTTCCAGATTAGTGACTTCTTTGAGCTGACTAGTTTGTCACATAACAGCAACAGACCAAGGCAAGGTTCTCAATCAGGATCTGTCCCTGTCCCCAAAGAAGGATCTGTACTTTGGTAACCAAAGTGCCATTTAATATAACCAATGCCTGATGGTTTTAAATTCCACCCCTGTCTGATGTACAAGCTATAGTCACCCATCCTCTTTTTACAGAAAAGCAGATACAGCTTGCTACTTCACAAGGTCTCCTTTAGCCAAAGAAAGGCTGTGAAAAGTTAACATCGTTATCTTCTCATATTCAGGGTTCCATAGAATGAGGCTGCTTAATACTAAAGCAACACCCTGCTTAAAAGTCTGTGCCTTGGAAACCCAGGTAGGAACAAATGCCCAGGAGAATGAATAATTAATCCCAAAACATTTCATGTCTTACCCGGTTTTCTAATCAATGTTAAGTTAAAGGTATAAGAAATCACACCATAGTAGAAAAAAATAACCACTAGCATCTCAGGCCTCAAAATACTTTTGTTTTCACCTTCACTGGCAATAAATATGTACACATTGGCCATCCTTTGGGAAGACACCAGGAATACGCTGAAATCCTTTAGGAAGTAGGAGGGATCAAAGAGGGAAGGATAAAAGATGAAGAGAAAGTTTGTATTTGCATTTTTGATTTATTGAGTTTAACATCACAGTAAAATAGGTTTCATAATACGGACAAGTTGGTGGTACAACGACTAGAGGGGCTTTTTATTCTCTATGTGCTATTATGGAGATGTACCTCCATGGATTGAAAACCTCTTTAGTCGAACAGTAACCATTTGGAGGTGTTATGGCAGCTAGTTTGTTAGTGAAAACTGTATGACCTGGAGAATTTAAAGTCAGGTGGAGCTCCCTGGGTTCTCCATGCATGCTCCTAATTACAGCAGGATGTTCTAAACTCACGACCCCTTTACTCCAAGGACTGATTTCATCTAAAAGCTACTCACAAACAGTAAAGTGGAGTGGTTACCTAGCAACCTTCATCCCTGCAGACAGCAATGTAAAGATAACTGTAGACACAGTTGACCCCATTTCTTTATTTCTATCCTTGTCCTTGAGATAATTTAGTCATAGTTAAGCAGCATATCAATGATCCTAAGTCTAATGATGCTGCTTTTGTAAACATTAATAACTGGCTGATATATTCAGCCACAACAAAAGGATTTAGAAAGGCAGCCATCATCATTTAATCTGCCACAGTAAGTAATAAGCAATTAAGGGGCTTGTTTTTATTTTGGAGGGCTTTTTAAAAACAATGCAGATTTGAAGCTATTTCCCCCTTTATTCTCAGTAGCAGCAATTGCTGCAGGCTTCTATTCAATATCAGAAACACCAAGCTATCAGGGTGGAATATGTTAAGAGTCAAATCTAGGGGAAACAACCAGTTCTTCCCAGAGCTGACTCAGGAAATGGTAATCACTCTCCAATGAAATCTATAAAAGTCATTTGATCCAGCGGCTGGTCTAGTACTAACACCTGTGCTCAGCTCACTATGGAGTCACAGAACTCACAGAATAATTAGGTTTACATGTCAGGGTCTCACTTGCCTCTTCACAGGAGGTAAGGAGCCTTCGTTAACGTATCTCAACACAGGCACCACTTAAAGCAAGCCTATGTATCAAATGAACTCTCCCCATTTCCTTCAGCCTTGTTTTCTAAAGTCATAGGCACAACAGAACAATACTATCGGTAAACTGCATTCGTGTTGATATTGAAAGCAAGAATACCAAGGAAAAATTAATAGAGAAAATGTTAAGATAAATCCACCAGTTCACTTTAGAAAATCCAGACTAATTTTATTTTAAGAATAACTAGGTAGAAACATGAGTTAATAGAGAAGAAAAACAAAAACACTGTATTCTAATGGGGTTACAGTTTATTTTATATTAAATAAATGGAGGGAAATTTGCGATATTGATCCAGTTATGAATGGCTATGTTTGAGGCAGCTCAGTACCCTCTGGTTATTGATCTAGCCAAAGTTACACTTGGCTAAACATGTTTTTTCCCCATTTTTAGGAGAGGTACTAAGTGTGAACTTGAGATTTCCAGTGTCCTTAAAGGACTAAAAGAACCTTGGGTCCAGTATTTTGAAATCTCATTAGTAAGGAAATATTTTTTAATTATAGCAACCATAATAAATTAATTTTTACATGAGATCTAAATGGAGTTTGCATTTACCTATATGAATCTAAGAGAAAATGTCATTACAAAATAGCTCCTGCCAACCAAAGACATGTATTTTCCCCAGACATATAACATATTCTCACCCCTTTAAAAAGATGAACAACATATATCTAATTCTCTCAGATACAACCACTATGAACCTGAGAATAGCAGGCTAGTCTCCTAACACCTGGTCTTTAATCTTTGGACCACATTTTAATTAACTGTATATCAGGTAATTTCAAAAGAAAATTAATTGCTATGAAAGATTTATGCACAGCTATATGACAGCATTCTTTTTCCAAAACAAACAAAAAACTGTGTAGGCTTACTTCAAACAAGCTTAAAATGACAATGCTTAACCCTTCCTTTTTAGTTGTTGGATAAAACTTGCAGACACGTGGAAGGCACACATCTTTTCCAAAGAACAGTAACCCACATACTTTGTTCAACCAAGTTGTATCTACCACATTAACTTATTCGAAGACAGTCCACCTGCTGAAAACAGTCTTTAATCACGGGACAATCATGATTAGTTTTACCTCTGTGAAATAAAAATAACTGAATGAAATAAATCCACCACAGGACTTTCCCACTTTCAAGTTCTGAATACATATTGTATTAGCCCGTGGGGATGAGAGGGCATGGGGAAGAGGCACACCTCACACAATCTGAAATTCACAGCAGCATAGACTCAAAGTGCAAAGGGCATATAAAATAAATGCCTTATAGGATTCCTTCCAGATAGTCATCAGCTTTTTCTACATTAAATTCTTAACAAGCATTGAAAGTGTATGCAAGATTAAGTCACATGCAGCAAATGAAGATGAACGCACTAACTCAATGTGGAGACTTTAATTATACAAATGGACAATGGCTTAAAAAAAATACACTGATTTAAATAAGTTTGAGTGAGTACTGTACAAGGGTATCCATGTGTCTGTTAGCCTCTTGGAAATATGAAATCACGTATACCTATAGTACTTAAAATTCGCCATGTGTCGTGTTATCCTGAAGCCTGATGAGCACACTTTATAAACACAAGTTATATTTCATGTGGATAACTGTGACATACCTAAATAACTAGACAGATAATATTGGATTCTACCATGTTAGAAAGCAAGACTTTCACCTGCCAATTTATTTCATTCACAATGGAAAGATATCTGCAAGTCTTTGGCATTAAGAATGCAAATACATTTCCAACTGTGGAAAAAATCATTATAATATTAGAAACAATATAATGGCATAATCTACAATGCAGAAGCAGATACTCTACATATTATGTAGTTACACTATTTTAAATTGAAAACAGTATTTCAGCTTACAACAAATTCACTTGAGGCCAAAAGAAATCTGTTTATTATAAAACAAGATACAAGGTCTTAAAAGAGAGCAAGGCAACATTAGATCAACCACTTTAGATTCTGAAAATGAAGTGTAGTTTGAAAATTGTAAAGAAAGATGAAAGTAGCTCCTGACATGCTATCCTCTTCTCTTCTTATAAATGGGATGAAGTAGAGAAGCAAAGCTTCAACGTATAGGGATTAGAACCATCTGTAAAAATTAAAAATTAAGGTTAATGGCTAATTCTGAAACTGATTTACCTACACAACTGGCATTTTAACTTTTAGAATCTCCTGTACAAGTCTACAGACCCTCTTTATCTAGGGAATGAAAAGAAGCAAAAATCCTAGGGTAAGGAGAAGTCTACTGTATTTGCTCTCCTCCTTGAAATAAGAAGGAAGGTCAAGCTTAAGCTTTCTGCTTGCCACTCCCTGAGCTTACTCTGAATCAAATATTACTTTTCAAAAAGTGAGACCACCACCAACACTAAACCCCCAAACAGCTCAGTTTCTTCCCTAGGTTGCAGGCTGAGGTCAGAAAAGGCATGCAGATGATCCACTCTACCCTGGAACAAGGTTTGGCCTGACCTCAGAACATCAGCGGATCCTCAAGGAAACTTGGCTGACCCCGAGCTCACGAGACACTTAGTGCATCCGTGAAAATACTTTTATGTTAAAACGATACATCATAACTTTGTCCTACAGCACCGCCATAATCTGGCACAAATTACACAGAGACATAAGAACTGTCTGACTTACTTGGAACTCTTATTTGGTAGTGATTAAGGGCAGTAAGGGCTTCGACTGCATCCGTCTTGCATTCCCATTCTAATAGGCCAGAGAGTGTTTTGGCAGAAGCTATAAGACAAAATGTAATTGTTGTTTTCTTGTCATAATCAACAGCTCAAAAAAAAAACCCAAAACAATAGAAAAAATGTACTTACGTTTTGCATCAAACACTTTGTATTTGATAAATGTGAGAACTTCATGATCACTACATAACTGCCAAGGAAACAAAAACAGAAAAAAAATTCTGAAAAGTACATCTAAAAAAAGTACATCCCCTTTCCAGAAAATAAACAGTATTAAGGAGTACAGGTTAGGATCTCACAATTAAGTGTTTATCATCAAGTAGAAAGACTAAAAACAGCATAAGTAACCAACTTAGTGCTTACTGAATAACCAATGATAAATACTATGTACTCTGATTTTCTAGAATATATAGCAATACCATCTATCTTTAAGAGATCAAGTAATTTCTGGAAGCAATTCCTAAAATAAGGATGGGCACAATTTTGCTTCAGGACAAATTTAAGCAGATGAAAATGAATAATTCTATTGGTATAGAAGCTTACACATTTTATCCCATCCTCCCCCCCCTCACCCCCCAGTAAAGGAATTTAGCCAAAAATTCATAAAAGTAAAAAGAAGGGGGGAGTAGGTGATCTCATTTCGGTTTCTTAGTGTTTTAACATTCCAAAGAAATACCGAAGAGAAGAACAAAGATTTGGAGATGCAAATTACACAAATTCTACACTTATCATTTGTATTTTTAGCAGCCAATTAATTCCTACCTTTGAAAACGTATCTTCTGTAACACACAATGGAACATTGTAATAATGCAGTACACAAGAGGGTGGCTGGATTATGTTCTTGGATGCCTGACCAGCACTTGTAAAGCGATTATTTTTACTCATGGCAAAATCCTTGTAACTGCTTGTACCATCTTCCAGTTCAAATATTTGACTAGGAACAACTGAATGTTGTTTAGATACACTAAATATCAAAAAGAAAAAAAATACACAACACACATCGTTAAATAAAGGTTAAGTAACCTACCCCAAAATATTAGGATATATACTATGTTTATAGTAACCCTAAGGAAAACAAATCATAAGTAAATTTAGCTATTTAAACAAATGAGTAATTAGTTTAGGTTCTGATTATTCTTATTATTTGCTTACGCAAATCTACTGAATATTTTCTTATATTAGAATACTTTTTTAATCAATTAAACAAATTCCTTTTATTTTTATACACCTTCATTTCCCAACATCTCCCCCTTATAACAGAGATTAAAAAAGAAAACAAAAGAGTTCAGCAAATAAAATCAATCAAGTCCGACATCACATGCAATAGTCTGCATCACAAGTTCTCTACCTTTTCAGAGGTGCATGTGCATGCTCATTAGCACTAATTATCATTAGCATATTTTAAAGAAATATCTATCAAATTAAAAGCTGCCATTTTAGTATAGTCTGTTGTGATAAGACTAAAAGGTCAGCCCAAGAAAAAGTTTTCTAACACAAATAGTGTAAAATACCACAAGACACTCATTTCAGATATGCTTTGAATTCTAAAAAATTAAGTTAAAACAATTCCAATTTTAAAAAACTACAGAACTATCAAAGACTAGAGAAGGAGCATTTAATACATGTTTATTAAAATAAATTACCAAACATTAAGTCTTTTTCCAAATAACTTGACATTATTAAGATGTGTGACAGCTCGTTCTACCGCATACTCATCACCCATTTCTACCAATGCTGTACCAGGAATGGTTTTCATAAATTTTACCTGTCAATATAAAAGAAAAAAAGGCAACCAATTAACTCTACAATTCTATATCAAACTTAAAGAAACTATGAGTAAGTGGTTAAAGACCAAGCATGAAGATCATCTGAACTTTCACTTTACTCTGGCATGCCACTGACATTTTTGCTTCACTTACACCAAAATCCAGCGGAAAGCGAGTAACGTTAGACTAAAATCTACAGCCATTACCCAGCAATGACATGACATATAAATGGGTAGCCTATTTACTTTCTTGTCTTGACCCAGGACAAGTTACACAACATTTCAATACCCTAGAAAACTCTGAACTGCATAATAGTCACCAATTTAACTTCTTCTTTTGGTGGGGGGGGAAGAGTGAGGCAACTGGGGTCCAGAGTCAACACAGCTAGTACGTATTATGAGTCTGAGGCCACATTTGAACTCGGGTCCTCCTGACTCCACGGCCAGTGCTCTATCCACTGCGCCACCTAGCTGCCCCAACAGTCCTCAATTTGAACTGAAAATCCATGCCAGGAGTTTCCTCCATAAATGAAACCATAGGTCTAAACAAAAAAAAGGTGAAAATATGTTATTAAGCACCTATTTCTCTTAAATTTTAGTTCAATAATCTATTATTTTTGAGTTTTGATATGACATATGCTTCATACATACACACAAAAAGTTACATGGTGAAAAGTAATGACAAAATCCCATTATAACTTGTTTGGGGCAAAATTTCTCCCTTAAATTAGCTAATTAATGTCCACCCCAAAATCTGAAGTTAAGACACCAAGGAAAAATGACATATTCTTAAATACCAATAAATCTCAAAAGATCTGTGTGGGCAACCATACAGATGATTAAAGATTACACTGGCATATTCTTAATGTGCTTTACTTTTCAATATTAAGGCTTCAAGATTTCAATTAATGAGAGAATTGAAATAAGTTACCAATTAAATACTATTAGAAAAGGCAGGTTTGGGTTTTTTAGTTTGTTTTTAAAATTAATTCAATCAAATGTGGTGGACCACTGAATCACACATGTGCGATAATTAACACTTGTCTTACAAAATGAACACCTGATCAAGTCAGATTATTTATGCCAAATCATAGAGGGTTTCAGTGGAATTGAGAGAACCCAGCCCCAAAATATCACTGATCTTTGAAGCACTGAAATAAAATTAGAGTGAGCACGGATAAATGTAGAGAGAGGAAATTTTTCTGGGCTCCCTTCACCTCCTTCAGTTTTTCAAAGATCAGTGATTTTGTAGAGGTGAGGCCTCCTTCCACTGACCCATATCAAAAACCCTCTGATTCGGGAGATGGTCTTTGAGAGCAACTCAGGCCAAAAACTCATCATTCTGTAGTAAATTAAGTAATGAGCCTTTCCAAACTTAGCTAAAAGATAGCCAGTCCATCACTGAACCAGAACTTCATCTTGAAGCATGATTTTTTGGAAGGTCACTTAGTTGTCAAATATTCAATTCTCAGGGCTTAGTTAGAGAAAGGGAAAAGTAGGGAATAGGCATTTATATAACACCACTATACAAATATCTCATGTGAGACTCACAACCCACATTTGAGAAAAATAAGGCAAATAGAGGTTAAATGACTTGTCCAGCATCACACAACTAGTGTCTGAGGCCAGATATGAACTCAGTTCTTTCTGACTCCAGGCCTAGCTACACTCTGCCTCCTAGCTACCCTGAGTAAAATTATTAGGACCTAAGCTAAAGATCTATTGTGGTTTTAAGAAGTTTTATTTGTTACCTTTATAATACTGCCCTAATATGAATGAACAGGAAGAATAAATGAGGAAGAGGGCACTGTATATTTGGATTAGTTTCAGGACTTCTAATTAGATAGTGCAGCAACAAATGGTCATTTGATGAAGTTTACCTTTTCAATATTTCCATACAAGCAGAATAGATTGAAGACCCTTGAACAATTCATCTTCAGTTGATGTAACCCACTAACCATAACAACTGAACCAGAAGGATTTCCCCCGTGCATATAGGAGGAAGAAGCCTGTGGAAGGGGATATGCAACAAGTTCAGGCGTATCTCGGGAGCCCATTCGGTAACGGCTTGGTAAAGGCAATAATGGACCATGTGAACCTACAAAAATGGTTGGGGGGAAAAAAGCACTTATTACTTATTTCATTTTGTAAAAGCTTCAGTGGATATACTTCATTATTAAAAAGTAATTTCCTAGAATCAGTTTATCATGAAGAAAATATAATTACTCAATGACATATTTCTGAAGGCTTGCTTTCAAAGCATATATTTAAACATATAAAAATTCCACTCATTTATATCATGTCTATTCTACACTGACCTAAATGCATTAAACTACAAATTAAATATTTTTTATAATATAACTAATATCCTACAAAGGAATCTTCTGATAATAATTTCAATTATAAGGTGATCTTTGGCCACCTTAGTGCTGTACTGGAGGAATTAATTCCCTATAAGCTACCTGGAGTAGAAGTCACTGCAATGAACTTTCCCCTGGGTTCTGTTACTAATATTAAATCTAAGAAAGTTATGGGTACCAAATGCAATTATATTTAATTTATCTGGACAGCCTTACCTACCTAGAACCTGAAATTTTCTAAGCAGTCAAACAAGGGACCACAACTTGCTTGCACTAAAGCATATGAGCTCTATTTACTGGAACCTTTTTCTTCACATTGTGGATACTATCCTAAGGAACTTTGTTACCTGATCACCCCACCCACAGCAGATTGGCATCAAGTCAATAAGAAAGCAGGAGTGAAAGTTAAGGAGCTATCAGAGGCAGAAATAATGAAAACAGCCAGAACAAACACAGTGTCCTATAAAAAGCAGACACAATAACCCAAAACATAACGCCATCGGACAATTTGGAAAAAAAAAAAGAGTAATTACCTTTCAACGCTTACAAGATCACTGATCTACAGCTTGGAAGGGACCTCAGATACTACTGTACTGAATCCTCTCATTTTACAGATAAGGAAACTGAGGTCCATGGAGATTAAGTGACCTGCCCGAGGTTCAACAAGTAGTGGGATTTGAAACTAGGTCCTCTGATGCAGTGCAGTTTCCCTTCAATAGTGTTAGAAGACATACCTATATACTCATGCTATACAGTTTAATATAACTAATGACTTTCATAATAAGAGATCACCAAGACAAGGTTAAATTATATTATATAAACTCTGTTTTAAAGAGGGCTAACAAAAATATAACAGATTTTGAGGAAAGTTCCATCAAAACTGTTTAAAATTAATAAAATTAGTGCTTAGAAGGATAAAACTTCAGTTACTTGGAAAATTCATTTATGTGGCACTAGTCATTCTCTGACAATGACAGCTAAGTAATGAGTTATTATAAGTTCCCTGAAGGTAGTCTTCATCTCTGAATTAAAAACCTGTCTGATAACTATAATCAAAGATGTTAAGCATTCACTAGCAGCTTACATATAGAAGATTCTTCTTGTAATCAAGGTAAACAAACTTCTGTACTTAACACTGCCTTACTGCTGTTTGAGATAGTATGGCCTAGGCCCTAGTAGATTAAAGTCTTGCCTTGGAGTCAAGTTCAAATTCCATCTATGGTACTAGCTGTGCAACCAATCACTAGCAAATCATTTAATTAGCAGCCTGAAACAACTCCCTATGATTTATCTACAAAGATATAGGCAAGCTGCAATCTGCTGGTGGCAGGACTTCTACACTGGGAGTCTCCCCACACTGAGAAACTCCTGCATCCTTTGAGTGCTGCTGAATTATGGTTACTTCTATTGTCTCAACCAAGGCTTCCACACTGCCCACTTTGCCGACACACAGAGAGGATTTCAGGCATCTTCTGGAGGTTTTTTTTCTGTTAAAAACAGAGGTTATAAAACATCTTTGATTTGGTCTACTACTTGTTTTAACTTCCTGATGGAACTGGGGTAAGGTCATGGACCTGATTTGGCTGGTGACATAGAAATCAAAAAAGTCTTAGGTGTGTATCATCTTAAAGTTCAGAATAGTCAAGGAAGGGAAGGTTGAACATAATCTGTATATCCTCTAGACTTCAGAGATGTGGATTTCAAAAAAGTGCAAACAAAAACTAGGTTTTATACTATTTGCCATGATTCATACAGTTCAAGAGGGATGCAACACTCTCAAGAATCAAATTCTAAGAACACAATCCCAAATGACCACTATGAAAATGTAAATGGGGAAATGTCATTTGAAAGTTCAGCCCTGTCCTTTGGAAAGCCTCAGATGTTTGACACAACTCAAGACAAACCTTTAAGCAGCATCTACCATCTAAAGCTGTGCTTCTTAAACTGGGGGTCATGACCCCATGGGGTTGCAGGAAAAATGTGGCAACAGCACAAGGTTTCTGAACGCACAACCACCAAAAATTCAAAATCAAAAGCGTAATGAATCCAAGGTGTTTCTGGCAGCGCTTACCTGTGTGGCATTGAGCAACTGAAGTGTTGGCACTCTGCACTGTGTGCATGCCCTCAGGGTGTGCAATGCCAACCAACACAGTCAAAACATGAAAAGGGGTTGCAAGTGGAAGCTTACAGTTAGTGCTTGGGATGATACAAAATTTAACTAAGACAAAAGCCCTTGCCCTCATGGAATTTATTTTGATATGTGACACAAATGTAAATGTATCAAATTAGTAAAGACCTGGAAACAAAATGCTAAGTGAGGTAGATTCAGGGCCCAAGGGGCGAGGGAAAGGGAGGGGGAGAGAGAAAGAAACAGGAAAAGTTTCATGGAAAGTGGCATGGGGAATAGAATTATAAATAGACAAATGGCAAAAAAGAGGCCATGTCAAGAAACATAAAAATGTGGGCAAAGGAATGAAGGCAGGAAACTGCAAAGTGTGGTCTGGGGATAAGTAGTTCAATTTGAATAGACCATGGCAAATGTGGAGGGAGGCAACATGAAATAAGCCTGAAAAGTGAGATGAAACCAGATGGCAGAGGGTCCCTAAATGCTAGGGTATGGAGTTTAGATGTTTCTCAATAGATGGGCATGAGAAAGCATGATGAAACAGAAATACTGTTAGAAAACCTAGGTCCTTGTCAATACTATTCATTATCTACATGACCTTAAGAAAGTCACTTAACTTGTTTGGGTCCTAATTTTCTCATCTGCAAAAATGAAAGTGTTCATAGAGAGGATCTCCAATGTCCCTTTCTGCTCTAAAGAAACTGATACGACTATCCACGTACACCCTCCAATGAACTCAGACATACAGACAAGGTCATGTAATCAAGGACGGAATACAAGAGGGACATGGCCCTGTAAGAAAAAACACAGGAAAGCTAACTCCAGAATTAGCACAGGTTATGAAGAAATACTAAAGGGCAATAAAAACTTTTAGGGCTGAAATGATATGCTTGCTACTTGGAGTAGATGGGTCAGTTAATGGATGTCATAAAGTACTTCTGTTTTCTCTAAAATGGTCAACAATCTTCAGACTGAAAAGGATAAAGCAAAAATGGCTGAGAGTAAATTAAAAGGGTCAGTTAAGACAATATGACAATGATAATACTACCTAAATTATTTACTTATTCAGTGTAATACCAAACTACTAAAAGACTGTTTTAAAGATCTAAAAAAAAAATTTATCTGGAAGAACAAAAGGTCAAGAGTCTCACAGGAAATGAAGAAAAGTGGGGATGAAGAAGGCCTAGCAGTTTCAGATCCTAAACTATACCATAAAGCAGTAATTATCAAAAATGACTGGTACTAATATAATACATCTTTTAAATTGTTCTGCCACCTCCCCACCCAAAAAAATGACTGGTACTAGTTAAGAATCAGAGAAATCAGTGTAATAGATGACGGCATGGGGCAGCTAGGTGGCGCAGTGGATAGAGCACCGGCTCTGAAGTCAGGAGAACCTGTGTTCAAATCCAGCCTCAGACCAAACACTTCACACTTACTAGCTATGTGACCCTGGGCAAGTCACTTAACCCCAACTGCCTTAAAAAAATAAAAAAATAAATCAGGGCATAATATACAGATGCAAGCAAACACAGGAATCTAGTATTTGATAAACTCAAAGACCTCCTGGAGTAAGAACTCAACATAAGACAAAAACTGCTGTGAAAACTGTAAAACAGTCTGGCAGAAATCAGGAGAAGTTAGGTTCAGACCATCTCACACCGTACACCAAGATGAGCTCCAAATGGATACAAAACTTAGACATAAAGGGTGTCATCATAAATCAGAGAAGCAAGGAAGAAATTTACCTTTCACATTTATAGGGGAAGACAGGGGAGAAGTTCACGACCAAACAAAGGATGGAGAGGATCACAGAAGATAAAATGGGCATTTTTGATTACACAAAATTGAAAATATCTTGCATACACAAAAATAATATAGGCTTCAGAAGGAATGCAGGAAACTAGCAGAAAAAAAATCTTTGCAGCAAGTTTCTCTGATAAAAGTCTTGTTTCCAAGACATATAAGGAATTTATTCAAATTTATGAGTAAACGCCATTCTCCAACTGAGAAAACAGTCAAAGATTTTCAACAAGCAGTTTTTAAAGAAATCCAACCTATGGATAGCATATAAAAAAATGCTCCAAATCACTAATAATTAAACAAATGCAAATTAAAGCAACTCTGAGATCCTACCACACATCCATCAGACTGGCAAAGTTGTCAAAAAGAAAATGACAACTGCTAGAGGAACTATTCAAAAGACAGGCACATTATCACACTGCTGGTGCAGCTGTAAAGTGGTCCAAACATTTTGGAAAGTCATTTGGAACTATGCCCAAAAAGCTATTAAATTGTGCTTGCACTTTGACCCAGAACAATACCACTACTACGTATATGCTCCAAGGAGGTCAAAGAAAGAAGAAAAGGACCCATATGGCAGGAAATATTTATAACAGCTCTTTTTGTAAAGGCAAAGAACTGGAAACTAAGGAGGTGTCCAAGAATTGGGATGAAATGGCTGAACAAATTATAGTATGTGAATGTAACAGAACATAATCATGCTGTAAGAAATTATGAAAGAGTTCCAGAGAATGTGGGAAAACTTATATAAACTGATGCAAGATGAAGTGAGCAAAACCAGAACAATTTCTTACAATGGCAACAACTCTG